AAGCCCAGGGTTTCAGCCACATTAACGCAACAGCAGAAGCGCTCTGGGTATCAGCCTAGTTCTGGTTCTCAACTCCCTCTGCATGTGGCTTCCTCTCCAGTCCTTCAGAAAAGCAGAGTTCAAGGAGCACCTAATGAGAAAGCCGGTAGCCCCCCCTCTTCCCATGTGGTGTGCACTGCATTAAGGTACCTGTGCTGTAGTCCCTTTGGCAGAGGCGGAGGCGATGGGGGGGGAATGAAGAGAAGATCCCGCACCGAGTGACCACCCGATTCTCTCTCCACAGCCCCTCCTACTCTCCTGCTTCCCCTTCTGATCTGAGGCTGAAGATCACATTCCACGAAGATTTATACTAGGTGCTGAGTCCTTGTATGGGTCTGCCATACAATTCTGCAGACGTGAAATCAGTCGTTGCTTTGCACATGCTGTTCCTCTGCCTACAGCCCATCTCCTCTGCCTTTTCACATGGTGACAGCTTAATCATCACCTCACCAGGAAAGTGTCTGCCCAGCAAGAATGACGTCATAGCACCCAAAACAATTTTAACTTGTGTGTTTGACACCTGTCTCCCCAGCTGGACTCAGCTCCCTGGGGCAGTTCCTCACATACACAGGCCCTCAATATCTCTTTTCTGAATGAAGCAAGAGGCTTATAGGGTAACAGTACAACCTAGTGTGTATTGAGCATGTACTATGTGCCAGGTGCCTTGACAAGCTCCAAGTAGACATTTGGTCATGACAGCCCCATGACAGCTGCACTATTAGTGCTCCCATTTTGCAGATGAAAGATATTACATTATGCACCCCCGCCCCCATTTTTAAAGAACAGGAATTAGAACCTGGTAAGCAACTTGCACAAGGCCACAGGACTAATAACAGCAAGGATCTGAACTATATCTCTGAATTATCTCTTCAGGTCACCAGAACTGCTCCCTTCATTATCTCCCCATCTCCCACCTGTTCCCATGCTTCCAGTGACCATTTCTGACCCTTCCCTGAATCCTCATCCTCCTATCCTAAGGCCCCCAATTCAGAAGTTTTCCTCAACTCCTGCCCTCACATCCTTCACCCTATCAGCTCCCATATCCCTCCTGCAGCTGTGCTTCAGAGTACTCTGCAAAGACCCCAACCAGAACATCAACCCACAGCTCTCAGCCGCACACGGAGGGATGGCATCTATTTCCCCACACCCTAGTGGGACTAGCCTGTCACTGCATCAACAGGCAAACCCCAGCAAAGCGGACAGGCAATGAGCTCACAGATGAGACCCAGCAGGTAAACCCAGTGTCCCTGCTCCACTTCCAGCACTGTCCCTTGCTCCCCTCTGCCTGTATTTACAGAGCTGCTTGCATGATGAGCCACGGCTTCCAAGGCACTCCTCTGTGGCAGATCTGTGGCATGAGAGGTCAGTGAGGATCCATGAGTCCTGCTCGTGGAGACCTTCAGTCCGTTAAATAAAACAAGCTCCAGCTCAGTGAAGCCTGCTCAGTCAGCAAAAGAGGCCAGCTGCCATGGCTCCAGAGGTTCCCCCTGGGTACACAAGCCTTTAGACCAGAAGCCGCTGGGAGAAGAGAAATGAAGACCAGCAGGACTAAAAGGATGCAGGGACAAGAGGGAAAGCACTCTGGAGGAAAGCAGGTCTTCTTGGAGTTATCTGCAGGAAGGAAGGACGATGTGGGATGATGATACTGCCAGGTGACACAAGGGTGAACATGTCACTTCCTTTTGGAAACTTTTAAGACTCCTTGGCAACCACATCAGGATCAGGTTCAAATTCCTTAGCATGGTCTTCAAAGGTTTTCCCCAAGACCCATCACAGCCACATCTAGGAGGAGAGGCATTTCAAGCCTCCACAGCTGCCCAGGGTCCCCCTCTACCTAGAATCTCTCCCTTCCTCCATGGGTCCAGCGCCCCTTGTCCTTCAGAGCATAGAAGACTTGCCGCACATCCTAGGACAGTGGGAAGAGCAAGGCTCTGAAGTCCGATCAGCCTGGCCTCCATGCAGGTGACCGCCCCTCTCACTGGTGGCGCAAGGATGAAACACAATGATTCAGGAAAGCACTTTGAACTGTGCCTGGCACACAGTAAGTGCTCAATAAACGAGCTGTTGTTCCTATTGTCCTTTGGGCCCCTTTAGGGCCCTCTGTTTCCACCACAAGTAGAGCACTGTCTTGCACATACTAGTTACATGCTGGGCTCCCTCAGCCAGCCACAGCTTTTTCTAGGGCACCACCCATGATTCTGGCCTTTCTTCCCCAAGTCTGGCACAGTGCAGGGCACACAGTAAGTACTCAGAAAGTGCTTGCTGCCACAAGAGCCTCAGCTGAAGGTCCTAGAGCAGACCCCACTCAGAGCTCCCCCAGCCCATCTGCCTCCCTGAACTCACACACCAAATCCCCAGTCTATCCGCTGCTACTTGGTTTCAAAACAAAGGGCTGAACCCTGCCTTGCCAAGGCTGTTTCTACTCCAGGGAATGCATGGAGAGCCATGAGCACAGCAGGGACTAGAAATAGCACTGAGCCCCTCGCAGGGAGAGGGCTGGGCAGGCCAGCCAGCAGCCAAACCTTCACGACAGAGAGTGGGAGAAAACCCCTCCAGGCAGGAGCCCAGGCTCCCAGAACTCAGCAGACACAAAGTGAACTAGGACAACAGGTCACTCATCTGGCCGTATGTGGAAGCTCTTCTACCCCAGTGGGGACATTTAGAAGGGACTCCTTGTAAAATCCAACACCACCATTAGAGCAACTTATAACACATTCAAAACCCCCCAAACTGCAAAAAGCACCCCAGATTGCCTATGGTTCTTGGAGAGAATTTACAGTGCATTTACCTGCTGGCCATTGGGGTCACCTGGATTGGGGTCACTCTCTATTTCCATCTGTTTAGCAGACTGTGAGCCACCCTAGGGCAGGCCCTTAGAACCCATTCATCTTCAGATCTCTGTGCTCATCTTCAGCATGGTATCTGGCACATACTAGATGTTTAATAAGTTAGAAGGCAACAAGATCTGGAAGCAAGGGAGGTCCTTGGCTCAAAGATGACTCCATTCAGGCCTCAATGCATGATGGACAAGTGAGCCATGAATTTCCTCTGGGCCTCAGTTTTCCTCATCCATAGATAGGGATAACAACAGTTCTTTACTCATACAACTGCTGTGAGAATTAACTGTGAAAGTCTACATGGGAAGCACAAAGGAATATCAGATGGCTCAACTGTCCCTTTGTGCCACATTCCCCTCCCCCAGCACTAAACCCACCTCTGCACTCCTATTCCTTTGTTTTGTGTTTTTCACATCATTGTGATTACTTGTTTCCAAGTCTGTGTACACTCACCCATCTGAAAATTCCTTGAGGCTCAGGGCCTCAAGTGGGCACAGGCTAGGCTTCGAGGGCTCTCCCACCCCACAGTCCCAACTTTAACATGCACAACACTCTCAACAAGATACTCGGATGTGCAGAACCCAAGGGCCCACCGAGCATGTTGACAAGGGACATGGAAAGGGACGTTACATGCATAACCTGTCAAGAAAGTCACACCTCTGAGACCTTCACCTCCTCTGCAGGTGCAGGTGAGCTTGTTTGCCAGGCTGACTCTGCAGCACACCAGCCTCCAGGGCACAGATTGCTACTTCTTTCCTTACATAAAACACCCAGCAGTCAAATAAATAATACATGGCTTTCACCTCACACACAGGTATCAGGCATGCAATCACCTGCTTTGCCCAGGATGCCCTGGAAGGGAGGGAGGGGTGAAATGTCTGGCCTCAAACAACCCCTCCCCCAGAAGACATGGACTGGATATCTGTGCCCACTCCCAGCCTCACTCCCTTGCCATGGCCTGGAGTCACCTGGCACTGATGCAAGTAGATCCAAGCAAGGGGCCCAAGGGAAGAAATGCACAACCCACAGGATGATACCCAAATCAGCCTCCAGGGTCTCTTTGCAGGCAGATAGACTTGGAGCCCCAGGTTCCCCTCCAAATACGCGGAACAGTGAATGGGGCTTGTACACCATCCATGCACACTGCCCTAAAGGCCTCCCCAGCCAAGTACCCTCCCCAGGGTCACCGCCACCGCACAGGGCTCAGATGCCTCCCCCATCACTCGGCAGTGCCAGGCGCCAGCACACCCACCCGAGCGCACACGATCCACTTGCAAAGGGCCTGCGTCCACCGCCCCTCTCGCCGGCCACCCCCACGGGCAGGTCCGATTACACTCCAGACGCGGCCCCCGCCACGCTGGCGGGGAGGGGGGGCAGGCACACCCACGAGCCGCCCGCGACCCGCGTCGCGGAGAGGGGGCACAGGGCGGGACCGGCGGGGCCATGGACGTTCCCTCCCTCCCCGGCCAGGCCAGCGGTCTCCGTCCCCATCCCTCCCCAGGACCAGAGGCCGACGCTCCCCGCGCCGGCCTCCCCGAACCGAGCAGCCCCCCGCCCCCGGGAGTCCGCGGCCGCCCCCTCCGGCGTGAGGCTGGCAGGGCGGGGTACCTCAGGAGCCCATGGCGGGGGCGTGTGCGGGCGACGCGCGGCGGTCGGGCTCTGCGCACGGGGCGGGCGGGCGGCGCCGCAGCCCGGAGTGTCGGCCGCCGCCGGCGCGTCCCGAGCCCAGCGGAGTGCCGCCGCGGCGCGCTTGCGCACTGGGCGCGCGGCCGGGAGGGCGGGGCGGTGAGCGCGCGGCTGAGGTCACCCACCCGGCCTTAAAGGAGCCTCGCAGCGAAGTCCAGCGCAGCGCGCCGCTCGCTCGGAGGGGGTGACCTGGTTCTCCTGCGCTCGCACACCAAAACGCGTCCCCGCAACTCCGCCCATCACAGAGCTTCCTTGGGCTCCTGGACTCAGAACCACCCGCTACAAATTCTGTGGCGTCCTGTCGCCGCTTCAATTCTCTTAACCCTAATTTCTTCCAGTTGAGCCTGTTTTGAAGGTGAAACTAAAAACAGTGTCTATTTGTGGCGTGAAAGATGCTTGTGGAATTGGGGCGTGAACGTATACCGAGTGCTGTGTGCAGGAACATGAAACAAATCGGCAAAGCACGGAAAGCGGATTTTTCTTCCCATTCTACTTAGCTGCGCTTCGTTCCTGCCCCTCCTCGCTCTAGATGGCCCGACCAGCCACACTCTGCAGGTATCATTCCAGCCGCCTGACCTATTTCTGTTTGCCAGGTCCACATCTTCAGCCAGTGAACTGAAAAGCATAAAATGCAATCAATTAAAAAAAAAAGACAATTCAAAAAAATACAATCAAGTTCTGGGTTGATGAGCAAGAGCCCCAAATTTATGTTTCCCCCCCACCTCCCCCAACTCTCTGCTGACATCTCTTGCTTGGAGGTCCAAGGTCATACATACCCCTTCTACACACATGCAAATCTGCTCTCTCCCAGCCTTCACCACCACCCCACCAGCTGTGGCCAACTCCATCCTTCATTCTCTGGGTCAGAACTCCTTTGGTTTGGGTAGTGTAGGGTGGGGGCACTGAGGATTGAACCCAGAGGCCATCTACCACAAAGCCACACTCCCAGACCTTTTTATTTTGAGACAGTGTCTGAATACATTGCCAAAACTGAGCTCAAACTTTCCATCCTCCTGCCTCAGTCTTCTGAGTCACTGGGATTACAGACATGTGCCACTGTGGCCCAGCACCTGGAATCATGCTTGAATCCCCTCTCCTGCCTCTATCCACATAGGCAGGCAGGAAATTCTGTTGGTTCTATCTGCAGGATATACCTAGGCTCTGACCTCCTCTACCCCACCCCCACTGCTGGTCTACCCAGGGTTGTTGCAAGTCTCTCCAAAGCCAGTGTGGGAATCAGAAGAATTATTCTGAAACCCGTAGAACACTCACCTGGCATGTGCATGGCCCTGATTTTAATCCACAGCACGGCTAAATAAATAATAAGTAAATCCTGAGTCAAATACAGCATTTTTCTCAAAATCCTCCACTGACTCCTCTTTTTTGGAGAGGGAGGGGAGTACTGCCCATTGAACCAGGGCTTCACATCTGCCAGGCAAATCTTCTACCCCTGAGCTACACCCACAGCCCTTTTTCTTTTTTATTTTGAGACAGGGTCTCACTAAGTTGCCCAGATGGCCTTGAACTTGTGAACCTCCTGCCTCAGCCTCCTGAGTTAACTGGCATTACAGGTATGTGCCATTATGCCCAGCTCTCATTTCATTCAAAATAAAAACTGGAGCCCTTACAAGTCCGAACAAAGGCTCGATCTGCCATTCTCCCTGCCCAGACATGCCTGACCTCATCTCGGACCCTTCAGGCTCTCCACATGACCCACTGCTGTTCCTGGAACTAGTGGAACACAGTTGGCTTCAGGTCTTTCCCACTGGCTGTTTTCTCTGTTACTGTTCCCCAGATACAGAATGATTCCCCCTCAGTGTCCAAGGGTTTGCTCCATTGTCCCCCACCTTGGTAAGTAGTCAAACCCCTCACATGCACACCCTGTCCCACCTGCACTACGCTCTGTTTTCCTAGTAACATTCCATTTCTATCACATTAGTTTGCCTATTTTGCTCTCTGTTTTCTCCCAGTAGAACATAAATACAAAGAAGACACAGATTTTTAATCCTTTTAATTCCCCTGTGTAACCCCAGTACTTAGCACAGGAGTTAACAGAGCAAACCTGGGTACACAGTGTATTCGTAGCATGAACAAATATCCTGTGAAAGCAAAGTCCTTCTAGAAAAATCCCTTCCCAGCCCAGTTACGAAGTCTCTGCAGGCTCAGGACCAGGATTATCAATTACATTGTGATCATTTGTTAATGACTTCCCACTTCTCCCTCCCTCCACAAGGACAAAGTCCTGGTGCCAACCAGGCTATGTCTCGCATGTTTATAACCAGACCCAACCTGGTATCCACTGTCCTGAGCAGGGCTTTCAGGCCAAACCACACCCAGTCCCTGCTCCGCAAGGACGCTCACCCACTGGTCTCAGTTTACAGAGGCCCAAGGCTGCTGGGGGCAGAGGCAGGTGGTGGGTATTTTTAGGCATGGGTCCTCAGAAAGGGGCTCAAAGACAGAAAGTCACCTGGCCTGGTGACACGGCAGGTCAACAGGTGGCCCTGGGAACTTTCCTTGGTTGCTCCTCTTTGGAGATACAAGCCTCTCCAGTTGGGGTCTTTGCTCAGGATTTCCAAAAGGAAGAAAAGATTTGCCCCTGCCTCTCCCTATCTCCACCCATCGGCCCCTTCTGTGGAGGCTCAGAGATCTCCCCATCTCTGTCCTATCTCCTCTCCAGGCCTGTGTCCACCACCCTGGTTTTGGCCACCTTAACTTCTGGACAGTTATGGCGGTCTCCCAGCCCACTGGCTAACGAAGCAGAAAGCCTTCCCTCACCGCAGGCACTAGCCCTCTCTACCCAGGAAACAGCTAGGACCAAGGCAGACTACCGCCTGGTTCCTCTGCAGTACGGGAGCTTGAACCCAGGGCCTCCCACAGGCCAGGAGAGCGCTGAGCTACATCCCAGCACCTTTGTTTTGAGATAGGACCTTGCTAAGTGGCTGGGTCTGGCTTCAAACTTGTCATCCTCCTGCCTCAGCCTCCTGAGTAGCTGGGATTACAGGTGTGCGCCACCATGCCCGACTCCCCATTCTGTTTTAATTAGTTTCTCCCTAACCAAAAAAATAAAAAATGAAATAAAATAAATTTAAAATAACCTTTGGGCTGGGGATGTGGCTCAAGTGGTAGCGCTCTCGCCTGGCATGCGTGCGGCCCAGGTTCGATCCTCAGCACCACATACAAACAAAGATGTTGTGTCTGTCGAAAACTAAAAAATAAATATTAAAATTCTCTCTCTCTCTAAAAATAAATAAATAAATAAATAAAATAAAATAACCTGAAAATCACTTAAGAATTATGAAATATATTATGTCAGATTCCTACACACACTTAATCATTTCCATGGGGGAAACAATTAGGAATGATATTGGGTAAAAAAGGTAGTAATACATTTGTGTTATAGCCTGGTCTGAACTCTGTAAAAAAGTGCTTAGAGGAAAGATCCCAAGAAAAGCTAACAAATGGTTTATCAATTAGTTCTTTCTTTTTAGTATCTGGGATTGAACCCAGGGATACTTAATCACTGAGTTACATCCCCAGCCCTTTTTAAGATTTTATTTAGAGACAGGGTCTCACTGAATTGCTTAGGGCCTCACTAGCTGCTGAGGCTGGCTTTGAACTTGCTATCCTCCTGCCTCAGCCTCCAGAGCCACTGAGATTACAGGTGCGCCCCACCACACCTGGCTTCAGTGGGTCCTCTTAAGTGGCATGATTACAAACAACAATTATCTCCTTTTTTTTTTTTTTTTGGCTTCTTTGTATTTTTCAAAATTTGTTTGAAATCATGTCATATTTTCAAACTAAGGAAAAAAAGTTATTGAAAGAAATGATGTATTGTTCCTTCTCTATTTTCTTCTCACGTCCTGTCATAGTTCATCTGAATACATCTGTCTCCCCCCAGGACGCTCCAGGCTTGGGACTCTGCAGAATAGGGACTCAGGTGGGACTTCTCTGGGTCCTCCCACGCCCAGCTCATGAATGTGCACAGACAAAAAGCCTGCCCCTCTGCTGGGTGCCAGATGTGGAGGGGAGTTGGGCTGCATTCCAGAAGCTGCTCACTGGTGACAGTTCCAAGTGCTCAAGGCAGAAGGGAGGCCCAAGTCCAGCTGTCAACTTTCCCTCATTGCCAAGTCCAGAGCAGCCCGGAGGGAAGAATAGAGGCCTGGGAGAGGCAAGCTCCTGAGTGGCCCGTGGCCCAGACCACTCCCAACTCATATACCTGCAGCCACAGTGTCTCCCCCAAGGTCCCCAGGGTGCTATAGGGCACCTGGCTAGGTGTCTGTGTGTGTGTGGGGGGGGGTAGCCAGAGCACAGGCTCTGCCCCATTCCTTCCCAGGTGTGTGACCTCAGGTGTGTGGCTTTGCCTCTCTGAGCCTCAGTTTCCCCATCAATAATTGGATTGTAAGAATGACTCATCTGGCAGGATTGTCCTGATAAATATCTATGAAAACATTGACTGACAATCAAGCAACTGCCTACAGACGCCTCAACTAACATCTGAATATTAGACCTTTTTGGTTGCAATGAACTAAAATCAAAATTAAGCCAGGTGCAGTGGTGCACATCTGTAATCCCAGCTACTCGAGAGGCTGAGGCAGGAAGATGACAAGTTTAAGGCCAGCCTCTGCTACTTGGTGAGATCCTGTCTTCAAAATAAAAAATAAAAAGGGCTAAGGATGTAGCTTCGTGGTAAAGTGCCCCTGGGTTCAATCCCCAATACTAACAAAATAAAATTCAAACTAAGTTAAATAAAGTGAATTTATGGTTTCACTCAATTAGGAAGTTCAAGGTAGAAAGAGCTAGACTGAAGGCTCACACAGGGTGGCTGGGATGCCATTTCCCTCCCTGTTTCTTACTCCTTCCCCCTCCCCCGTGTGTGTGTGTGTGTGTGTGTGTGTGTGGCCTCCTTCCCAGGTGTCCTTTCACCTCAGTGGTAGAGAGGGTCCCTCTCCCAAGAATTCCAAAGTTGCCCCAGGATCACCTCTGATTGGCCCAGCTTGGGTCACCGTCCTGTCTCTGAACCGGTCACTGTAGTGGAGAAGCACAGAGCATTAGTGGTGGGACCCAGATCACGGCCTTGTGCTTGGAGACAGAAGGTGGAGTCATCCCTTTCCAAGCTACAAGTACTCAGAGGGCTGAGTCCCTGAAGGGAGACTGAAGTCCCTGAAGGAGCCAAAGCAGAGATGGAGGGAATAAGGACAGAGCCATCAATGTAGAGTGGCTACTTGGAGGCCTACTGTAGTCCGGGCAGTGGCCAAACCACTGTTCAAATTCCAGCCGGGCCCTGACAGGTCACGAGGCCCCGGGCCTCAGTGAGCCTCTGATTCCTCGCCTGTGAAATGGGGTTCATACTAGAACCACCCTCTGGGGGCTGGTGTGGGGACTGAATTAAATGAAATACCCCAGGGAATTCTGTAGCTCAGGGCCTGGCACATTTTAAGCTCTTCAGTAAGAGTTTCTGGGACTGGGGCTGTATCTCAGTGGTAGAGCGCTTGCCTATCATGCACTAGGTGCCGGGTTTGATCCCCACACCGAAAACAGCAAAAAAGAAAAAAAAATCGTTGTTTGTGATGCCTACAATAATAAACAGAGTAAGAAAGCCTTTCTGAAATCCCTGTGTATAAGTGAAAACATAAACAGTCTTCATGGACAAAATTTTTTTTTTTTGTACCAGGATTAAACCCAGGAGCGCTTAACCACTGAGCCACATCCCAGCCCTTTTTGCTTTTCATTTAGAGACAGGGTCTCGTTAAGTTGAGTAGAGCCTCACTCAGCTGCTGAGGTTGGCTTTGAACTTGCCATCCTCCTGCCTCAGCCTCCTGAGCCACTGTGTTACAGGCGTGTGGCCACCACACCTAGCTCCTTGGACCAATTTTGAAGCGAACCTGCCCCAAACACTGACTCCATCAACTCCACTCCAGCAACCTCTTTTGGTTGAACACCAGTGTCCTGAGGCTGGAGCACCACCTGACATACTCTTCCTCACTCTGACCTCCATCCCTGTCCTTTTCTTAAATTCCTTCAAGTCCCTGATAAAGCTTCAGTTTTCCCAGGTATGTGGTTAAGAGGAAAAAAGAAAACATCACACCCTGGAAGACACATCGGCTGTGTCCTGTATGCAAAAATGTATGCGTGTACGTTTACCTATGGGTGTGCGGTTAAAGGAGCAGGAAAATTCTAGAAGTCCATCGAGTCCTTTCTGTGTCCCCAAGCCTGACGTTCAGGGACTGACAGTCGTGTCTTCAGCGTCTTCCTCACAACTGCTGTTTCCTGAGTGCTCACCCTGAGAAAGGCCAAGCACAAAGCTCTTGGCGAACTCAGCAAGCAGCCGTGACTGCCGACTGACTGCCGTTCGGCAGACGAGGAAACTGAGGCGCGGGAAGGCAACGCTCCTTGGCGATGCCACGGGAGCAGCCTGGCACAGAGCTGGCCCCAAGCATGTTTGTTAAATGAACCCAGGACCCACTTCCACCCCTCCCGGTGGGAATCAGCCAGGAAGAGGAAATGACTGCCACGCAGCCCTCCTGGCAGGCCGGGTGGTGACGTTCAGCAAGCAGAACTAGGCCATTCCTGGGGGGCACCACCTGGGGCGTGGGAGTGAATCACAGACGTGGCCTGAGATGATTGACAGGAGGCTGTGAGACGAGCCTGAGCAGAGACCCAGGAGGGAAGAAACCTCTCTCTGACTCGTTGCGCGCGGACCTGGACCCGTACCTCCAACACAGGTAGGTGGGTCCCTTTTTAAACTTGCTTTGCCAAAACAGACTCACCAACAAAGCAGGCCACAGAGGAGGATTTACGGCCAGTGTCCTTGGAGTCGCTGGAACAGGTTTTAGGTTCTTTACAAAATCCCTAGTTGCTGCCAAGGATCCAGGACCACTGTCGTCAGGCAAGGCAGGCACCCTGTGGGTCAGGGGCGTCCCGGGACCTGGGGGTCTGGTCCTGGAGGATTTAATGGAGGACGGGGAGCCAGAGACCTGGGTGTCCCAGGCCTAGGACTGCAGGGACGCATTAGGCCTCCGGCCTGCCCTGGGTGAACCTGGATGCAGTGCTTCAAAGGGAGGGTGGGGTACACCTTAATTGCAGGTGCTTTGAAGGTGCCAGGATGAAAGCCTTAGAGGTATAATTACCTGAGAAGATTCTCCAAGAGTCTAGGAGGAGCCAGGCTGCTGTCTGCCCGCATCCATGATGGGGGGGCCTCCAGGGAGGCCTCCTTAAAGGGGCAGTGCTCTTCCCTGCAGCCCAAGGCCGAGCCTTCTGCTCTGCTCACCCCAGCAGCTGCCTGGGCGCTTCCCATCCCACCAGCCCCAGGAAGGCTAAGCCCTGGGGGTGCACTCCCTGAATCCCAATAGGTTACCAGACACGGCCTCACTTGGGACAGAGGAGGATGGTGGTGCCTCCAGGCTAGGGTGAAAGAAGAGGCAGCCAGAGGGAGGAGGAGGAGAAGGGGCAGGTGGCTTGTAGTCCTGGGAAGGAGCTGGCCAGTGATGTGAGGGGCTTGTATTTTTGCAGGGAAGAGAAGTACAGGGAAGGGTCCACCCTCAGGGTTCTGGCCTCCAAAACACTCGCAGGCCTTTGATTCTCACAACAACCGCTACGTCCATCCAGAGAGCTGGGCTCAGGCCCCTCTTCCTGTCTCCCTTGGGTTCAGGCCCCTCCTCTCCTCCTGTTCTGACTCTTCTCTGCACAAAACCTACAGAGAACACAGAGCGGTGGTCCGTGCGGGCACGGAGTAGGGCAGGGGTACTGGGTATAAAGGAGAAAACTGGGAAGAAGCAGGAGGGGACTTGCTGGAGTATCCACAGCCACCTACATCTTCATCCAGTGGGTGATGACACAGCTGGACAGGAATGGGTAAAAGCAACTGAGCTGAATGCAGGATGTGCACATTTTTTTTTTGGGGGGGGGCGGTACAGGGGATTGAATTCAGGGGAACTCAACCACTGAGCCACATCCCCAGCCCTATTTTGTATTTTATTTAGAGACAGGGTCTCACTGAGTTGCTTAGCTTCTCACCATTGCTGAGGCTGGCTTTGAACTTGCGATCCTCCTGCCTCAGCCTCCTGAGCCGCTGGGATTACAGGAGTGCACCCCAGCCTCCTGTTTGTTAACTGTACCCAGGACCCACTTCCACCCCTACCGGTGGGAATCGGCTAGCAAGAGGAAATGACTGCCACACAGCCCTCCCAGCTAGGATGTGCACACTTTAGACATACACTATAATTCGATTTTTTTTTAAGGACCTGGGGGAATTGATCAGCTAAGATCAGTTTTGCCAGCCTCACCCTTTTTAAGGCTGGGTTACATTGAGCCTCCCCTGGGCCCCACCTTGCTCCCTGGATGATCTACCCCTCCCAACTGAGCATCTGCCTCACTGGTGGCCTCTCCTAGGTTTGGGACTGAAAATGCACCCCTCCCTCATCCATGTCCTCATTTGCTTGCTTTTTCTGTCTTACCTACTGCTGAGCTACATCTCTAGTCCTTTTATTTTTTATTTTGAGATAGGGTCTCCCTAAATTGCCCAGACTGGCCTTGAACTTTCGATCCTCCTGTCTTAGCCTCCCTGAGATTACAGGTGTGTGCTACTGTGCCAGATTCCATTCAGCTTTCTGTCCCTGATCCCAGGTCTCCGGGCAGGTAGCCCCAGAGCCTCCGGATCATCCTTGCCCTCTGGATACCTCCCACTGTGGTGGTGACCATAGCTCCCTAACCCTTCTCCCTGCCCTTTTCTCCTTCCTTCAGTCTGCCTGCCCACTATGGCCAGATTCACATTCCTAGGTTAGCATCCTGTGTCCTCTCCCCACCTTGCAGGTGCTGCTGATGAGTCAGGTGGTGAAGTGGTGTGGGCTGTGGTGAACAGCAGCATCTCTAGAGCTGATTGTTCCCATTTTGCAGATGAGGAAAGCAGAGCTGAAGAAGGATGAGCAACTTGCAGGTAGGGCAAGGGAGAGCTATTTATACCCACTTCTGCAGACTCTGGCCTCTGCCTCCTCCAGTCTCAGCTGCTCCGAAGTGCCTCCCCCATCCCCTGGACTTGCAACTCCTTGCAAGGGAGTTGATCCAACTCCTGGGCCTTTGCACAATCTAGGAATGACTTTCTCCACCTCTCCAGCCCCCAGCAAACTCCCACTCACATTTACTTCAAGGTCAAGTAGTATCTGAAACACCTTCCTCTACACCACGTACCTTATCTTCCTTTGTCCTTACGTTGACAACTGGACATTACACAATGGATTCTGGATTTGGATGAGCCACTTGTAGCCTGACTCCTTCCCCTGACGAGGCTGTGGGCCTCTGGAAGCCAAGATTCACACTTCAAATTTGAAATGTGTAATTACTACACTCGTCACTCGTGAGTTACCTGAGCAGTGAAGGTCAAGAGCATGGGTGGTAGAGTCCAGTCTCTTCCATGCCTTTGTCTCGTCATCTACAAAATGGGGATCACACTACATTCACCTTACTGGATTGTCATGAGCAATGGACTGGAAACGGCCTGGCCCAGGTGAGTCCTTGTGAATTTAGCCCTGTGCCCATCCGTGGTCTTCTGTACTCTGAGGACCCTCGGAAGCACACATCATCCGCTCGCTTGCAGAAAAGAAAACTGTGACCTGGTACCCAAGGTGTCCAACTGGCCTTCTGGACTCCAACCCTGTGCTCCCCACCCCTGACCCCCACCCCTGCCCCATCTCAATCTAGCACCTCTCAAATAGCCCTGGCACCCACACAAGCCCAGTCAGGTGCTTGTTAGCTGCATTAATGGAAGATGAGTCACAGGTGGCATGCTTGCCCTCTCTGGTCAGACCAAAATATCCTGGTGAATGTTTGGCGTTAAGTAATAAACTCTGACTGGGTGATGCATGATGGTCACTCCTCTGGCCTCAGCTTAATGTCATTACCTTAATGTCAACTGCTGTCCCCTCCCACATAGTGCACTCCCTGAAGAAGCAACACAGGAAGGACAAACCGGAAACTAGCGAGAATGAAGGGGAAGAGCCCTCCTCAGGAATGATTCTGATTATGGCTTTGTATAGCGTGACTTTTGTATCTGTAAACATCCCACATCCAAAATAATAAACCAAATTGGGGTGAGTGTGTGGGAATGCATTAATTCCTTATTAAAACTGATAAAATAACCAGAGAATATTTCAAGTTCTTTCTGAGCACTGTAATGTTTTTAAGGACAAGAAAAAAATATTTTTAAAAGCTTTCCTCCACAGGTTTATTTTTGGCAGTAATATTAAAATTGTTATTTTCAAATGTATTGTAGAATACAGCAAACAAGTGAACACACTAGTGTTATTACAATTTTCACTGTAAAAGAAATAAAAGATTAAGAGAAGGGATAAGCTCCTCAGATTTCTCTCTCAGGGCCACAGTTGGTAACTTTCCACTGTGTGGTCAGGTATCCAGCCCAGAGGGTCTCCAAACAGGGAAGGGACGGGCGGGGGGTTTTCTGTGGGGTTCCCCAGGGCCTCATTGGGCCAAGTGTGTGTGAGTGGAAGGCACATCCTAGGTCGACCAGTTGACCATGGCGCCCCATCTTTACCCAGCCCAGGAAGGTCTTGCTCACCACTGTAGTTCCAGGGCCCACTGGCATTTCTTGGCTTTGGGTGACACCCCCTGACAGACCTGATGTCTGTGAATAAGAATCCATGGGCTGGGACTGGGGCTCAGTGGGAGAGCGCTCACCTGGTACATGTGAGGCACTGGTTCGATCTTTAGCACCACATAAAAATAAATAAAGTAAAAGCATTGTGTCCATCTACAACTTTAAAAAAGAAAGAACCCACCTTTGCTTCCACCTTGCACATGGGGGTATGAGTTCCAGGCTCATGAGCCAGGCTGAGGTCACCAGGTCTTCAAATTCCAGCCCTGGAAGGAGTTTGGAACTATGCCCAAAGAATGCCTCCCAGAGCCCACCCCACAGGGCTGGCCTCTCAGCAAGATGGCTTTGCTATCTCTGGGTTCAAACAGTGCTTTTGGTTTAACGAAAAGCAAACCGCGTTACACACCTGAAGCACACACCTGTAATCCCAGTGACTCAGGAGGCTGAGGCATCAAGTTTAAAGCCAGCCTCAGCAACCTAGGGAGATCCTGTCTCAAATAAAACATAAAAAAGACTGGGAATGTAGTTTATTAGTACAGTACTGCTGGGCTCAATCCCCAGTACCAAAAAAAAAACAGTAAACTGTGTCGGATAAACCCACTTTGATGGACACTCTTTTACATGCTCGTGAGACAAAGGCCCACCAGGTTCAAGGCTGCCCTTGAAGACTACACTAGAACTTGCCCAGGCCCACCTGGGGAACCCCCTGGAACCCAGCTCCTGTACTATTTCTCACAGAGCTGTGTGGCCAGTCATGCGGAGGACACTAGCTGTCCTCTGCTCCCTTGAGGACCCTTGTTTTGGGGCAAGGTGGCCAGGGTTCAAACCCTGCTCTGCCATCTGAGAGCTCAGCCCTGGGCAGGCCATGCTGCCCTGGACTGTCTTTTGGCATAAGGCAGGGCCGTCGAGAGGTCCTAGCTCCCAGAACTATGTGGACAAGGTGGTGAGGAGCTTCAGGGGACTGCTTTGCTGAGCATGGCCCTGGGCGTGGGCATCACTGGCGGAGGCAGGGCGCATGCTCACAGCCCGCCCCAGGACCCCTGGATCAAAGGCTGTGCTTTAAGAAGCCCCATGAAGTGAGGTCTTGTCCCCAGCCCCACACAGCACGCCTCCCAGGCTGCTGGGGAGAAGACGACGCAGGGCAGACACGCAGACGGAAGGCTGCCGCGCCACGGTATCCTCTTCTACTTTATTACTTCAAATTAACAACCACAATAAAGCTCAAAAAAGTCCGATATTTACACAGGAAAAAAGTACAAAATTCCCCCCAAAGTTCTTCAGTATTTTTTTCAATTTTTTAAATTACAAAGTAATAAAAACCTTTGCTCTTTAATTAAAAAAAAAAAAAAAAAGGAAAAGGGGAAACAGAGGTAAATAAATTAGGAAATACACACATGGAGAAAACAAACAAAAATAAAATAATAAACAAAAACAGGTGTTAACTAGGAAGGATGGAAAATCCAACACTTAGCCCTGACCCCAGGCTCCTCCCCAGAAGGCAGGGCCCAGGGGAGGGGGACCCCAGGTGACTGTCAGGACCAGAGAAGTAGCTGATAACCCAGAGCAGGTGCTGGCTGGGAGTAGTCTCCACAGTCTCTGCCCCAGACCAGGCAGGAATGGAAGATGGGACCGCCACAGGCTGGCATTTGGGGACTGGTGGTGGCAAGGACCCGCTGTGCCCTGAGGGATGTGGAGGCCACTGTCCACCCCCACATCCCTTCCACGGGGATAACAAACTCAGCCTGGCAGGTGGGGACGGGGCATCGCTGCTCTGGGACACAGGTCAAATACGCGCACGCACACATACACACAAGGCAATAGTGGCCACCACCTCACTCAAGGCTTCATGGAGAGACAAAGGAAGGACCCAAATGCTCAGGGGGATGCTGGAAAGTCCAGCATAGAAAGTTGGCCACTGTCAGCTCAGAGGGACAGGGACTGTGCGCATCTCCTTGGTTCCAAGGCTCAGGGAGCCCGGTGGAACCCGCCTTTGACTGGCTGCCTTCGACTGGGCTCCCGGCGTCCCTGCTGGCTGCTCTCCCACACCGAGGGGCGCCCTCCCGGCAGGCGGATGGTGGTGGCAGGAACAGGTGGCTGAAGTGGGGCCTTGGCATCTGGCTGGTGTGAGCCGGTGTTGTTGGGGAGCATTTGGCAGCCTGAAGGCTGGGGACAGCGGGCAGTGCAAGGGGACACGGTCCTCAGTGCTAAGGGCATCCCATCTTTTTGCCGTTGGCAAAATAAATCAAAGAAACAAGATCCATCGTCGGTTTTGTGCTGGGTTTTTTCTTTTTGTTCATTTGAGTGGTTTTTTTTCCATCTTTTTGTGTTTTTTTAAAGAAAATACAGTGAAGACACTAGAGGGGAAGAAAAAAGACGCATGAGGCGCCCCGCTGCCTCTGTTCCCCCACCTGCTGGACCCCTTCACCCTAATTTCTCGTCCCTGAGGCCACCCCTCTCGGGGCCCAGAGCTGGCGCAAGTCCAGCACACAGTAGGTACTCCATTTCCCTGGGAAGGGAGCAGACTCTGTCCTCTGCCCAGCTGTGAACAGACAGGCTCCTGGGCTAAGCTGGGCGTCCGAGGCAGGGAGCCCAGTCCCACGCCCCAGCTCCGTCTGTGGGCCAATTGCTCTGAGCGAATCATGCTCAGGGTGTTCTGGTAGAGGTCACGTCCGTCCCCCATCTGGTGAACCACTGCACACAGGCCACTCACTGTCCCCAGGGAGCTCAGCTCTCCACCCTCCCTGGAGGACCACCCTCACTAGGCCAGGCCTAGTCACCACCCGGCTTCCTGCCAGGCAGCAGCAGCAGTCCCACCTCGGTGCACACTGGCCAGCAGCCTCTCTCTGCTCGCCTGTGCTAGTCCTTCCCATGAGCTAACCTGTTTCACAGCCCGGAGGCCGGGGCAGGCCAAAGCCCTGTGGAAGGTCAGCGTGAACCAAGGTTCCAGAAAGTGTCAAGGACGGGGGTGGAGGGCTGATTTCCCGGAAGTCAACCCCCAGCCAAATGAGCCCTGAGCCCCGCTGGGAACCTGCAGGACTGGACATTTGCGCTCCCTCGAGGATCCTTGTTTTGGGGCTAGCAGGTGCCATCTGCCGTCCCCCCCACCCCAGGGCCATGTGCTTCCGGGCCTGGCTGTGCTGGCTGGCTTGGGGCAGGTCCCACTCACCTAAGCGAACACTGGTCCAGCGATGGCTCTCCTCACTTCCCGAGGTGGTCAAATGGCACGCTTGTCTTCGCAGGGGGTGGGGTGGGAGCAGAGAGAGGTGGGTGAGCTTCAAGGCCAGGACCTAAGTCTCCCTGCTGTGTAGCTCAGCCCCACCCCTGGTAAGCCCCGGGAATCAAGGGAAGGGGTGATCCCAGAGACCCTAGGAGGTCCTCGTTTGTAGACAGAGTTGGCAGGGGCAGGGCACAGAGACACACAATGTGACTGCTTTAGGCCACACCCAAGTCAGTGGGCCAAGGAGGGGTTCACTCTCAGGGACAAGTCCACTAAGGCTTCTCCTGCGTAGTCAGGATGGGGGCAGGGCTCCCACTCCCCTCCAGCTGGACACAGTCCCTCCCTCCGACCTCTCCTAGTCCAAATATGACCTTAAGAGAAGCTACCAGGGGCTGGGGCTATAGCTCAGTTGGTGGAGTGCTTGCCTTGCCTGCACAAGGCTGTGGGTTCGATCCCCAGCACCAAAAAGAGAAGCCATCAGATAGAAGCTCACCTGTCCCTCTATCCCATGCTCTTGCCAAAGCTAGTGAGGACCACTGGGGGCTTCCTGATGGCAGGGGCTGTGACCACCTGATGCCCACCAAGATGGGCACCCAGCAGCGAGGGTCAGACCCCAGAACTGCCACTTGCTGGGGCACATTGTTCTGAGCCTCAGTCTCTGGCTTTGCTCAGTGAGGGGGGCTAATGAACCTCAGGGAAGTAAAGAGGTCAAGTCCTAGCCCAGGCCAGGGGTTTGCTCTGGGGTTACCCAAGTCAAAGGGAGAAGAGAGCAGAGCCAGAGGCCTGTCCTGCATGGGGATCTCTGGCTCTGCCGTGGCCGCTTGCTAACCTGTGAGGCTGAAATCCGGGAGACCTCCTGTCGCCCAGTGAGGTCCGAGGACGAGACGTTGGCGGGCGCGCCCCTGTGCAGCCGCATGCTCACCTTCCTCTCCCGGTCCACCCGTGAGATCGCTCTGGGAGAAGTATTGCCTGGAGGGCGAGGGGGGAGCAGACCTCAGCTGGGGACAGAAGCAGGACCCCAGCCCTCTGGCCCATCCCGAAGCTCACAGCCCCAGGCCCTTACTAACCAGCTTGCTGGATGCGGGAGGCGGGGGTGGAGGCCACAGGCTCGGCAGCACTTCGGAGCCGGTTGGCAGTGGCCCCCGTGGGTGGGCCAGGGGGAAGGGCCCGGGTTGTGGATCCCCGCAGCTGCCCCATCCTCTCCTCGCGTTCGTGCTCTCTCCGCTCTCGGTCCACATCCTCGGGGTTCCGGGCTGCACCCTGCAGGGACGGGAGATGGCATGCTGGTCAGCCCCGAGACCTGGGTGCTCTGTGCCCAGCACCTTTGCAGGACAGAGGAGAAGCGAGTTGGGGGCATCTCACAAACCCTCTGGCCCAGCCTCCTTCCCAAAGTGGGAATCCTTGATCTCAGAGGCTTGGAAATGACCCTGGGTCACAGAGAGGAGAAATAGCCACGCAACACTCAGAGGAAGGACAGACAGCACTGAGAAGCAGGGGAGCTCAGGCTGCACTGGAGCCCAGAGGAGTGGCTAACACTCCACAGTGACCAAGGGCAACCCTTGGTCTCCCGACCTGGCCCCCTCCATTTACCAAGAGCCCTTGGCACCTCAGGGTCTCCAAACCATGCAGGGAAGGAGTTCAGAGGCCCATCTAGCAGAAGGCAGGGAACATCAAGGGGACAGGAGTCGCAAGGCTCGGGGAAGGCAGGGCCAGGACTTGGCCAGGGGACCTGGGGCCCAGCCTTGAAGTGCCTGCCGCAGGATGGGAGCTCAGGGGAGCAGGGAAGCAGCCGGGCTAGCTGCCCTGCGACAGACAAGGCTGGAGAAGGGTGCCCGGTGCCCCTCGGGGCCCTGCCCTCTAGCCACTGCTGTCCCCACAGGAGGAAGTGAAAGGTCCAGAGAGGAAGTGGTGCGGGAGCAGGGCCTGGCTGTGTTACCTAGCTGGTCCCGGGGCCGTCCACAGGGAAGGGCAGGGGGCTGGCGTGAGGGGGGCCGCATCTGTGGAGGAGAGAGCTGCGGGCTGAGCAGGGGACCTCACATGGGCTGGGGAATTAGCTGAGGGGCCCTGTGCCCTGGGGAAGTGGAGCAGACCTGCCTTTGGGCACCTCTGGAAGCAGCTGGGATCAGAATGATCTCGAGTCCTAGCAAGGAGCCAAGCCAGGCTAGTCCTAGCCCCACTGCTGGGCAGAGGTACCCCGGGCCTTATCCTTGTCTGACCTGGCCACAAAGCCTCACGACCTGCCTGGGGTCACACAGCCAGAACAGAACTGGGGACCTAGTCCTACCATGCACCTCAAGAGGACTATTCAAGGCCTGACCCAGCAAAACACCCGTCACTCCTCCCACTAGAAGCCCACCAGGCAGGCCTAGGCCCTCCAAGGCTCCACCCACTCAGCCCCAGGCCGGCGCTGGGCAGGAGCCACAGCACGGCTTGACTCCTATGACAGGGATGGCCTCACTCCCTCGTGGGAACCAGGCTCAGGGAGGCTGAATGATGCGCTCGGGTGCCCGCCCAGCCCTGGAGCCAGCAGCTGAGTAGACGGAACCCACCTGCGGCTGCCCCACAGCTCAGGCCACCAGCAGTCCACGTGCAGGAGAAAGAGAACTACTTACTGCCCCGGCTGCTATCCAACCCAGACAACCCCTTAAGAAATGCGCGCCAAGGAGCTTTTCTGGCCTTTATTTGCCCATAAGAAAACATAAAACTGTCAACATCCGAGCATCCTCCCCTGCTGTGTGGACGTCTGTCCTGGGCTGTGTGAAACTTCCTCCTGTCGGTGGCTTGTCCTGAGAACACGTGCTGACTGCATCCCAGAGTTCAGGTGTCCAGGAATTCCAATGCCCTCATGCCGAGGAACACAGATAGGCTCCTCCAAGGTCAAGGTCAAGATCATGGGAGAGTCACTGCCCATGGTGCCCAGCATGGAGTCCTGCCAGCTGGTATGGCTTCCTGCAAGGTATGTGTGGGGGTCTTGGTCTTGGGGGAAGGCTGTGGATGGTCCCCACTGCACATCATGTGGCTGTTCCTGCCTGGGGCTCACGCGGAGGTGATGTTGCAGACGTCGGTGATGGATGAGACTATCAGTGGCCCTGCCTAGCTTTGGACTCCAGAACCTGACTCAAAGGGGACCCCAGGAATGGAGTCAGAGTGCCAGCAAGGGGGAGGAGTGCCTGGCCCAGCTTGAGAAGACATCTTCTTGCTGGTCAGTCCCACAAGGGGAACTGTCAAGGAGCCATCTAGAACAGCGTTGTCCACAGAACTTCCCAGGATGACAGAGATGCTCACATCTGTCTCATTGGATGCAGCAGACACTATCTCGTGGCTCCCAAGAGCTTGGAATGTAGCGAATGTGACCAAGGAACTGCATTTTCCATTTTGATTAACTTTAATTAAACTCTCCATGTAACCAGCAGTTATGGAAGTGGACGTCACAGTCCAAGAGAATGCAAAGCCCTTTCTTAGAGCTGGGCTGAGCCAAAGAACTAAGTCCATCACAGAACCAGACTCGGGGACAACTTCCTATAGGGCAAGGGTCTCGTGTCTGAGGCCCTGAAACGCACTGCAGGAGGAAGGGGTGCCTGGGTGCCCAGGCACTCAGTCATGCTCTAAGCTGGAAGGAACTCAATGCCCATCTCCCTCTCTGCCCTCACAGAGGAGGGCAACACAGCCTTCTCCTCAAAGCCCTGACCTGCGAGATGGCCATCTTCTGCCTGGGACCCAAGAAGAAGAGAAACCCAGGACCAACACGCCAACCTCAGCATTCAGAAGGACCCGGCCTTGGCCCTTGGCATCTGGTGGAGCACCGAGGGACACGATGTAAAAGAAGCAAACCAGGACGAAGGCAGGAGACATTTAATGAGTTCAGTTTCGACACAGAGGCCGCCCACGGGGCCTGGTCCTGGTCCTGGTCCAGGGCCTAACAGGCCCCAGGCCGGGCCACAGTTTTCTTCGGGCTCGTCCTGGCCTCAGGCAGCTGGTTCATTCCTGAGGATCCCAAGTAGGGCCTTTTCCAATACTCTCCACCACAGGGCCACCTCAGGAATGGGTGCCCCCACCATCCCAAGGGACATTTCCTCATGCCTGGCCCTATCAGGCTCAGGCACACTGGTGATGTCAGAACTGGGGCCCTGGAGTCCAGACCACAGGCCAGTAGTTTTGAGGGGGCATCTCCTCCACCTCCTCCACAGGCCTATCTGGGGGGCCTTGGGTGCCCAGGATCGCCGGGCACCTGGAAGGGACAGAGAGGGCACAGCTGAGTCCAACTTTGGTGCTGGCTGGCCAAGTGGCAACTCTTGGAAGGGCCAGGCCTTGGAGGTCCTTACCAGTATGTGGATGGATACGGGGGCCCGGCATAGGGCCAGGGGCGGGGGCGGGGTGCTGCAATAGCTTCGCTGTTCCGGGGCTGAGCCTGGCTCGAAGAAGCCCCCTTTTCCAGAAGAGATGTGAAACAAGACACACGATTTCACGGACTCCAGAGCTCCAGGCACGGCTGGCGACCACTTCTCCCCACCCCACCCCCAGGACCCTTAAAAGAGGGAGACAGAACAACTGCCTAGCAAGATCCAGGGTCCCATGACCAGGAAGAGAGAAGCCACTCTGAATGGGTCCAGGCTGGCTAGGGGGGCCTCGGTGAAGGCGGTCACCCAGGACGTGCAGAACAAGAGGAGCAAGATGGAGCAGGCCGCAAGGAGGGCAGCGGGAGGGCCCAGCAGAGCCGTCCACGCCCTGCCCCGGGCCCCCAGGACAGACTGGAGGCTGAGCCAGGTCCTCCTAAGCCTGCCCACGCCCTGCCCACTGTGGCAGCACATGCCGTCCACACTGATGTGGCTGGATAGGGGTGGCTCTGGGACCCTGGCGAGGTCACTTGTGCTGTCCAGCTCATAACTCCCATCTGTAGGGAGCCCTGCCCCCCACCAGGCCATTCTGGCCTTATGAGGCAAGGCCTTCCCCATCCAGTCCCCCAAGCCCGCCTTGGCCTCCGGGTGACTCACGAATTTGAGCATGTTCCAGTCGAAGACGTAGTCGTAGGAAAAGCCCTGCCGGTGGAAGAGGTTGCGGAAGAGCTGGCGCAGGTAGGAGTAGTCGGGCTTGTCGTCGAACCGCAGGGAGCGGCAGAAGTTGAGGTATGTGGAGAACTCGGCTGGGGGGTGACAGGGAACAGAGGAGGTCACTGTGAGGCCCGCGCTCCCCGGTCCCCGGCAGCCACCATTGCCCAAGCCACCCACTGTCCCTCTCAACAGTTTCAACCTAAGAGGGGGCAGGATGAAGAACAGAACCACAGGCCTCCCTATGCTACTAGTGCTCGCGCCCCGTGAGCACAGCCTCTTCTCGGAGCTGCTCCGGGGAATGTGGCCCACAGCAGCCACAGCTCAAAGGGCGGCCAAGGGCCCTGTAGTGGACACACTCCCAACACGATCTAAGCAACAGCAGGCAAACAGCCACTTCCTCCTCTAACAACTTGGGCCAGGAGAGGGCTCTAGATGGCGAGGCAGGAGTGTGGAAGGGGACACCCAGTCTGCGACATCAGGCTGGGGCTCCAGGCCTCCTACATGCCGTGCAGCCGCAGAGCCCCCGGGTAGTCCTCTTGCGCCCGTCCTCCCCACCTGGTACTCACAGGGGTAGCCTTTGCAGAGGACCTCAATGGGCGTTGACATCTTCTTCTCGCTGATCCGCTCATACTTCTGGCGCTTGGTGGCTGCTTTGAGACCCTGCCAGGGCAGGGAGCCCAGGTTGAAGTACATGAGCACGTAGCCCAGACTCTCCAGGTCATCGCGACGGCTTTGCTCTGCAGAGTCAGAGGCAAGGTGAGGGGCAGGGTCCACACAGGCCCCGAGCTCCTCCTCAGGTCACATTCTTTACTGCATATCTGGCAGCAGACAGCCATCTCCAGCGCCCGCTGGCTCCCGTTCTGCAAGAGGGCCCGAGGCAGCACCTTCCCACCTCAGTCTGGGTCCAGCTTTTCGGCTCAGGGGTTATTTCATTCAGCAACTATGAGTGGGCACCCGCCACCTGCCCACCCCACAGAAGCAGCACAAGCTGTGGCACGAGGCGGGCCGAGGTCAAATCCGGTCCCAGCACTCACGAGGCTGTGTGCCCTGGAGCAGCCCATGTTAAACTGGCCCAAGCTTCCCAGAGGAACAGTTGGGGAGCATGGCCCCCCCACTCAGTGGGGTTGCCAGGAGGACAAGGCCGGGCATGAAGGGGTGGCCAGCACACACAACTCTACTTATGAAGGGAAGATGTGGACGTTGGGTCCCAGCCTTAGGGCAGACTCAGGTAGAGACGCTCAGTGGGCCAACCAGGAAAAGTACCCGGGGGCCTCCGACTGAGGTGGGGGGAGGCAGGCGGCCCGCGGCCCAAGGCGCCCTTGTCCGGGAGCTCACTCACCGATGCCCAGGTGCGTGTTGATGGAGGCATAGCGGGCCGTGCCAGTCAGGTTCTTGTTTTCCCGGTAGGGGATGTGCTGGTGGGTGCGGGCATCCCGGTACTTCTTGGCCAGGCCAAAGTCAATGATGTACACCAAGTTGCCTTTCTTCCCCAGGCCCATGAGGAAGTTGTCGGGCTTGACGTCGCGGTGGATGAAGTTCTTGGAGTGGATGTACTCGATGCGGCTGATCTGGGGGGTTAGCCAGCGGGGTCAGTGGAGGGGCCGCTGCCACATGCCTCGGGCCAGGCCCCAGAAGAACAAAGATGGCAAACGCACCCAGGGTCCCTGCCCTGGCCAGGGAGAAAGGTTTGTCCCCAACTATGAAGGATGGCTTCAAGGTGCAGGCCAAGGAAGGCTGCCGGGAGACAGTGACACCAGGATGAGATCTGATGTCGTGGCAGGGAGTGGGAGCCAGAAGGAAAGGTAAGGGCGAGACCCAGGAAGGAGGGTGCGGGGGAAGGACCGTGGGCCACCATAGTGGCCTGCCGCCACGGGGCCCAGAGGCAAGCAACTGGGGGAGGGGCAGGTGGGAGCACCGAGGAGGCCTAAACCGGGCAGAGGTGCGAGATGGCGCACCCAAGTCCTGACTCCACTTGGCTTCCAAAGGACACCAGAGTCAGGGTGTGACTTTTTTTGGGGGGATGGGGGTACTGGCAATTTAACCCAGGGATAGTTTACCACAGAGCCACACCCTTGGCCTTTTTTATTTTATTTTTGGTGGTGCTGGGGATTGAACCCAGGGCCTTATGCATGCAAGACAAGCACTCTACCAGCTGAGCTATATCCCCACAGCCCTATTTTTTTTTTTTTTAATGTTGATGGACCTTTATTTTATCCATTTGTTTATATGCGGTTCTGAGGATCAAACCCAGTGCCTCGCACGTGCTGGGCAAGTACTCTCCCCCTGAGCCACAACCCCAGCGCCCCCAGCCCTATTTTTTATTTTGAGACACAGTCTCACTAAGTTGCTTAGGGACTTGCTAGTTGCTGAGGATGGCCTTGAACTTGTGATCCTCCTGTCTCAAGCCCCCTGAGCTGCTGGGATTATAGGTGTGTGCCCCCATATCTGGCCCTTTAAGAATTTCCAAAAACTCAAATTAAGATCCACACACAGGACAGGTCCTCTGGCATGTCATGCCCAGCTCTGGGCCTCCGGCATGACAAAATATCTCCAGGAGCTTTACTGAATTTCACCCTGTGAGAATCTCACGATCCTCCTCTGCGCACCCACAGCCTAAAATTGGAGTGTGCTTGCGACAAGACAAGATCTGCATGGTCCCCACTAGGTTCAAAGTTCGATTCTTTCCTCCCAGTACTGGGGACTGAACTCAGGGGCTTACACATGCTAAACCAAACGCTACACTGACTTTCACCCCCAGCCTTTTTCGATTTTTTGGAGACAGGGTCTTGCTTGCTAAGTTGCCCACATTGGTCTTGACTTGCAGTCCTCCTGCCTCTGCCTCCTGAGTAGCTGGCTATGCATTTTATATTTTTAAAAAGCTCTCCTCTGAATGGAAAGGGCCTAAGGATCTACACCTTCTCTGGCCTAGGCACTGTGTGGCTTCCCACTTAATCCCAGCACCCCAGGGAGGGGGAGACTGAGAGTAGGTGACGGAGGCTCAGAGGGGCTCAGCAATTCACCTCGGGTTCCCACACCGGGATAGGACACAACCTGTGTGATCACCACAGGGCAGAACCGAGGGCCCTCCCCAGACCCTGACCTGGCAGCCTGGTGCCTGGAATCTGCATTTAAACAAATGTCCAGGACGCTGAGGCCAGCAGTTAAGGTTCCTGGCCCAGGAAACAGGTCTGTCTTGTCCCTGTCCCTGCCCCCTCCCCTACTTTCCTCTGGAGGCAGGATGCAGGGTTAGTATCCATGGCCACTAGCAAGATGGGGAAGTGGACGCTGCAGGGCAGCTGGGCAGGCCACCTTGACGGTGTGCAGCGGGACTCACCATCTGGTCCGCCAGGAGCAGCACCGTCTTGAGGCTGAACTTGCGGGAGCAGAAGTTGAAGAGGTCCTCCAGGCTGGGCCCCAGCAGTTCCATGACCATCACGTTGTAGTCGCCCTCCGCCCCGCACCACTTGATGGACGGGATCCCCACTGGGGCGGGGCGACAGGGCTGTCAGGGCGGTCCCTCCCCACCCGAGCCACCGGCCCACAGCAGCCCTCGCCTCACCTCCTCCCTGCATCATCTTGTAGAACTTGCTCTCGATGTGCAGCTGCGGGTGCTTCGTCTTCACACACTCCAGCTTGATGGCCACCTCTTCACCAGAGGCGATGTTGGCACCTGCCCAGGGTGGAGGGGCAAAGGCCCAGGTGACTCCCAGACAGCCAGGTGGTTGCCATCCAGCATTTGAGGCTGCTGTAGCTCAGGTGTGGGGCCAACTGGGCATCTGCCTCTCAGGGACAGAGAGGTGGCCAGGAGGCTTCCCGAGGGAGAGTGAGCAGTACCATGTGCCACGGGAGGAGGCAAGACGCCCCCAACTGCTCAGAGAACCCCAGGTCAGGGCTTCGAGAGGGCCCGATGGGGGAGGGGACACACAAATGGTGCCCAGACCACAGAAGGGGTGGCACTTAACCCCAGAGACAGGCCGGCCAGTTGGGTGTGGCGGACTGAGGTGTATGTGGAGGGACCAGAAGCCCAGAGGGATGGGCACTGTGCCCCCCCTGACACCCTGAGCTGCAGAAGGTACTGACCAGCACCTGCCTGCCCACCAAAGCTGCCCCCCTCAAAGGTAGCCCACACGTTCTGTCCCAGGACGTCCCCTCCTCTATTATCGGAGTATCATTCCCCCTGCACAGACGAGAAGGCTGAGAGCCACTCAAGGTCATACGGCTGGCAATTGGGGGACTGGGGAGCAAAACCTAAGTGGGAGCGGTAGCACCTGCCTGCATTCCCTTGGGAGGCTGAGGCAGGAGAATCACAAGTTCAAGACCAGCCTGGGCTTAGCAGGCTCTTAGTTTAGTTTAGCAGACTGGCTCATTCAGTAAGACGCTGCCTCTACACTTAAGAAATAATAAATATATAAGGGGCTGGGGTGCAGCTCAGGGGCACCACAGCCCTGGGGTCAACCCCCAGCTCTGCTGGCTTCGGCGTCTAGGTGTAGACAGGGTCCTGCCTGCAACCCCTGTGTCCCCTTCTTACTGCAGCCTTGAGGGGTATGCATGGCCTAAGAAACACCCTAAACACACCAAGGCCTAGCTCGCAGCCTGGGCCCGCCCCAGGGCTCCAGAAGCCACCAGAAAGACCAAATCCAGATAGAGCCTTGCCTCAGTGTCTCCAGCTGCAATGGAGGCTGAGCTGCAGGGCTGGGGCCACCTGCAGGGCAGCGAGTTCCCCTCAAGGGCCAGCAGCGCCTCCAGCTCCAAACACCAGAGCAGAGTCACACCGGCACCCAACAGGAAGCCAGGGAACAAATACAGAACATCCCATGGGGCAGGATACCATCGGCACCTCAAACCAGGGGAAAGCATGGGACCAGACAAGGAACACCCTGGCCCACGGCGGACACCACAACCAGGGGGTCCAAGTGCAGCGAAAGGGTCCACGAGGAAGGGGATGAAAAAAGTACAACCACTCTGCACACATCCAGGAGAGGAAGCAGTCACCCTCGACCAGCAGCCCCACTCCTGAACACAAGCCCTAGGCGACATCTGGGGAAAGGACAAGGATGTACACTGGAACCAACAGCCCTGATGCCTGGCAGCTGAGTCGCTGACAGCAATGTGGTCACATAAGGAGTCCCAGAGATGGTGATACTTTTAACCCGGCAATCAGGCCACTCCCGGCTCCTCAACACTGGGCTAAAGACAGCAGGCCAGAGCAGCCACCACAATAGCCAAACAGTGGAAATGACCCAATGGCCCAGAGCCGATGAATGGAGACAGAGAGTGGTCCATATACATGCGGAATATTATTCAGCCACGAAAAGGAGCGGAGTACTGGTAACACATACCTCAACACAGGTGAACCTTGAAAGAAAACATTCTGCCCAGCCAAAGAAGCCGTACACAAAAGAAAATGTGGTTCTATTATATTATATTCATTATATAAAATGTCCATATCCATAGAGATGAAAACAGATTAGTAGACACCAGGGTGGGGAGTGGCTGCTTAACAGGCATGGGGATTTCTTCTGGGACGTGCTTTGAGACTAGATGGGGTGGTGGCTGCACAATGTTTTAGTAAACCACTGTACTGCACATTTATTTATTTGGTACTGGGGATTGAACTGGGGGTGTTCTACCACTGAACCACATCCCCAACCCTTTGTTATTTTGAGACAGGGTCTAAGTTGCTAAAGCTGGCCTCAAACTTGCAATCCTCCTGCCTCAGCCTCCCGGCTGCTGGGATTACAGGCATGTGCCATCTTGCCTGGCTTGAACTGTACACTTTAAAATGCCTGATCTTATGCTATGTGGATTTCACCTCAATTTTTAAAAGAGGAGGAAAAGCAAGTGACAGATGAAAGTACAGTTCTATCTGTCTCAATTTCAAAGCTCTGTAAAGATATAGTTTAAGGATACAAACGTGATAAAACCTCAATGAAAGGGAATAATTTAAAATGTCAACTAGTGGTTATCTCTGTGAGGGGAGGCAGATGACAGGACAGGCAGGGGTACTGAGGGGCCTTGAAAGGGACAAGAATGGCCTCCTCTTTCAACTGCACAGTTCCCAGGGAAGGGTCCCATATGACCTTAGGGTTAGGCAGGGCTTAAAAAGACCCCCCGTATGGCAGAGATGCCAGACGTGGTACAGTGCCCGGGGTTTAATCCCCAGCACCGCCCCAAACAACAGCAAACCCACCAGAAATGAAGCAGAAAGAAAAACTACTCAATTCTTATCACAGACAAAAAGCTGACAGCTAACAGACTCCTACAAACCAGTAGGAAATAGAAGCAGGAAATAGGGCAAAGACCGTGAAGCGCCTTCCCAGAGGAAGACCAACTACGAAGGGCTCGCTCAGCAAAGGCCTCGATTTCTCTTAAGAGAAATGCAAACTCCAGTGACCCCCAAAGACCATTTCTCAGCTAGGACCATCAAAGGTCCTCAGTGAGATAGGGCAGGTTTGCTGGCAAGGCTCGCAACAGGTGGCTCTTCCCCAGGTGGCCAGCGTGACAGTCCAGCAGCACCTGCACATCTGAGGGTTCAGCCAACACCGACACCCCTGCACTGTGCAAGCCGAGGCCTGGACAAGGCTGTCTGCTGCAGGCTGTTTGCAGCAGCAAAAGCTTGGAAATGACCCAAATGTCCATCATTGGGGAACTGGTTAGAGAAAGAATAGCCCATCCACAGGCCAGAACACAATGGAGGGAGAATGAGGAGGCTCTCTGTGCAGGAGAGGAAGATCTCCAAGGCAGGAAGCGAAGGGCCAAGGACTGAACCACACTGTCCTCTCCTTCCAGCTGCGGGGCAAGCTGGGGAAGCGGCATCTGCCTTTGGTTGTATCCACACAGAGCACTGCAGAAAAGAAACAGGAGGAAGCAGCCAGGCGACCAGGGCGCTCGCTGGATACTTTGTTAAATGCAACTCCTCCACCAGGAACTGTAACCGCACAGGGTAACAACACACCCCTCCAACTGGCCAACTCCCGGGTTTCTGGTATATTCCCAAGGATGTACGAGCAAGGGTAGAATGTTTCCATCACCCCCAAGACATGGGTACCCTTTAGAACCCTCCTCAGCCTCTGTCCCTGGCCACCACTAATCTACTTTGTCTCTGAATTTGCCTGTTCTGGACATTTCACAAAAACAGAATCATATATGATCATTTGTTGACCTTCTTGAACCCAGGTGTACTTAACCACTGAGCAACATCCCCAGCCCTGTTTTGTGTTTTATTTAGAAACAGGATCTCATTGAGTTGCTTAGGGCCTCGCCATTGCTGAGGCTGGCTTTGAACTCCAGATCCTCCTGCCTCAGCAAGCTGCTGGGATTACAGGCATGCGCCACTGCACCCAGCTGTGTATTTTATTTTGAGACAGGGTCTCATCAAGTTGCTTAGGGCCTCATTAAATTGCTGAGGCTGGCTTTGAACTTGCCATCCTCCTGCCTCAGCCTCCTGAGCTGTATGATCTGATTCTTTTACTTAACAGTTTAGTGTTTGGATGTTAGTTCTATAGGTATATATTCTGATTTCTGAGCCACACAAATTAAGAAGAGGTGACTAAGCCCAGTGAGCAATGGGAGAAAGCAAGTGCAAACTGTAAAGTGCTTCTGACACATTGGCATTCACTGCTTGGTAGAGTCCACAGGTCTCAGGGTACAGTGAAGACGTGGCATGGGAGGGGAGCCAGGGCATCCTCGATCCGCTGCCCTGCCCCTTCTCACCACAGGTTCACGAGGCAGCAGAACGCAGCAGGTATTCTCCATGCCAAGCTGCTGACCCCTGTCTCGACTCCCCACCTCCTAGCCAAGGCCTGGGTGAGTCACCTCGCACTCTGTGCCCAGGTGCCTCACCTGCTATGCTCCTGGGCTGCCCCAGGCACAGAGCTCAGCAATGGGCTCTGGCACGCACAGGCATAGCTCTACCAATGTGAAGGCTGCCAAGGAGGGGGTGAGGGCGGCCCTAGGGAGCAAAGGCGCTCCTCCCCGGGCAGCCGAGGGCTCCCAGCACAGGAGCAGGACTGAGCCAGGCACAGAGGTCATGGCACAGGCACAGGCCAGCGGGGGGCATGCAGCCAACTCTGAGTGGTTTGGTACAGCAGGACCCCCGACATTGAAGGAGGGTGGAAAACGAGGGCAGCGCCAGGATCTGAAGGTCTCGAGAGGCCAGATGACAGTGCGGCCTTCCCTGAGGGCTCCAGCCAGGCACGAGGTCTGGGATCTCACCGATACTGACACTTGAGGCCAGAGAAGCCCTTGTGTGGGAGCTCCTTGTTGGGTGTTGGCAGTGCCCTGACCTCTACCCACCTCCTCCCAAGCTGTAGTAACTAACAGTGTTCCAAGACCTTGCCAAATGTCCCATGGGGAGAAAAAGTCAGCACCCACTAAGATTTACTGGTGTACCAGAAAGGGCTGGAGGGGACCCGAGGGGGTCAGGAGACCCAGGAGGTGGCCACTGCAGCTGTCCAGGCAGGAGCTGCTGGTGGCCTTGCCCAGGCAGGGTGCAGATGTGGATGATGCCCGAGGCAGGGCCTTGGCCACAGAGAACTGCAGCAGCTGCATGTGGGCGGGGTGTGTGGGGGAGGGTGGCACACAGGAGGGGCACTTCATCCCCCGAGCCCTGGCGCCGTCCTGCTAGAACTACTGCTTACATCTCTATCTGACATAATGAAAACCTCAAACTCCAAAGGTCGAGTGACCATATGCCACACAACTTACCAAGGACAGGGACTCAAGCTGTTGGGCAAAGCCTCTAGCCCCCAGAGTGCTGGAAACCTTCTGTCGCAGTGTTCTCCCCGACTGCCAGCCCTCTGGTGCCTCAGATCCCACTGAGGCTGCCAGATCGTCCTCCTTTCTCACAGCCACTAGGCTGAGCAGCAGAGAGGGAAAGTGCCTGGCCCATGAGGGACAGGACCCCCTGGGGCAGAGCAGGGCTTGAAGTAATGCTCCCAAGGCCCCTGCTCTCTCTCCATTCCACTTCCCTGTCATCCGGCTCACCCAATTCCAAACAGGTACTGAGCCCTGACCAGGAGCCCAGGCCCGTGCAGGAGCTCTGCTCACCCTCGGCCGATGCAGTAAAGCATAACTGGCGAGAACCGCGCGGGGCGGGGCCCATGGAGGCAGATGGCCGCAGCTTCCTGGCAGACGCTGCGTTGGGAGGTGAATGGTCTAGGAATGGTGGAGGGGGCCTAGGTGGAAAGGCTTGGAAGCCAGAGAAATGGCCCCATTTCAAGTGCAGAATGTGGCCCATTGGTTATATAGCAGCCACATGGGGGGCCTGGTGGGGACAGGAGTAACCAGCCTCATATGGGGCTCACAACAGACGCCATAGGGACCCATGGGGTGCAGGGAGGGGTTGAACCCACCTGCCCAGCAACAGCAGCAGTAGCAACCTTTGCACCCGGTGTCAGAGGCTGGAGTGTCCCCCTTGACAACCAGGGACCCCCATAACCACCTGAAGAGCTGAGGACAGGGATTCCTTTTTGTGTGTGCATGCAGGGGGACTGGGGACTGAAACCAGGACACTCTACACTGAGTGACATCTCCAGTCCTTTTAAAAACATTTATGAGGCAGGGGCTCACTATGTTGCCCAGGCAGGCTTCAAACCTGTGATCCTCCTTTCTCAGTCTCTCAGGTCACGGGGACTGCAGGCATATGCCACTACACCAGGCTAAGGCAGCGTTTCTAAGCAGTCTAGAGAGTTGCCCAAGATGCACAGTCAGTGGGCAGGCCCAGGGCAAGCCGCCTCTGGACCTTGTGCAGCCAACTTGAGCCCCTTAACAAAGTGGGCGCACTCTCCTGGCCATCCCTCAGCAACAAGGGCTGGGAGCCCTGGAGAGCAGCTGTGGGGCTCGCAGTCGCACCCCTAATGAGGCCATCAGTGTTTGATCCTGGAAAGCAGCTTGGAAGCCGTGTCCAGCCCCACCTGCAGAGGCCATCTGGAGTCAGGCCCTGGCCTGGGCACTGGTAATGAGACAGTGGCCAGAGCTCTGAACAAAGAGAGCCAGCAAGGCCGGCCGGGGGGACCCACAATCCCTGCTGTCTCCAGGCCAGGAGGACACCGGCCTAGGGTGGTGCCAACGGGAGGGCACCTCAGGGCAGAGCCCCCACACCCACGAACCACTGGAGTCTGGATGGTGGCGCAAACTGACTCCCTGACCCCCAGGCCCAAGAGGACCCAGATCCTCGGAGAGCAATGACTCCCAACTCAGCCCAGGGGCGGGACATGATGTGGAACCTGCTGGGCTCAGCAAGCAGGTGCTTTCCACGCCAGGTCCTCAAACTCCTCACAACCCCACCTCCACCCTGAGAAGCCCGTCGGGTGCAGTGGCACAGCCTGCCATCCCAGGACTCTGGAGGCTAAGGCAGGAGGATTCCAAGTGAGAGGTAACTTAGTGAGACCCGGTCTCAAAATTTTAAAAAGGGCGAGGGATATAGCTGGGTGGTAGGAACACCCCTGGTCCACTACCCAGGGCTGCAGTCAGAGAAAGGAAAGTTAAGAAAACCGACTGCCGCCGTAGAACTGTCATCTACACACAACTTTTAAAAAAATGGAGAAGTCAAGGTTGGCAGAAGTCACCCCTCGCTCAGGGTGTACAGCTAGAAAAGGAAACACCGATATCCAAACCCAGGCCAAATGTACTCCACAGCTGGCAGAAGAGGGGTGAATCTGGACGTTTTTACAATAAATGAGATGACTGTGGAGAAACGGGAAGCCCTGCCTTCAGGGAGACGGTGGCTTTTCTCAGTGATCTGGGGAGGCCCCTCCCTCCAGAGGCTCCCACTTCCGTCTGCAGAAAGAGGGCCTGAAGGGTGGCCTAGGAGCGGGTGCCTGCTGTGCCAAGAGCCAAGTCTGCGCCCTGCAGTCCCGAGCCCAAGGCTCAGTGGTGAGAACGTCCTTTCCCCCACCTGTACATCTTCCAAAACAGGTGATGGGGACCTCCACCACACAGACAAGACTGCAACTCAGAGAAAGTATGTTATCCCAGATCACACAGCAAACCAGGAAAAGACTGGGACCCAAAGCTGGTGCAGTCCCCAAATCCCAGGCTTTTCCAGTCCTGCCATGAAGCTCTTGCACACCCTGGTCCTTGGTTTAGCACTTGTCCACTTGACAGTCACTGGACACCCACTGGGGCAAGCCACACGCCAGGCCCAGGAGAGGGTGGGCAAACTCGACACTATGCTTGCCTCCCAGGAGCTCAGAGATGCGGCAAAACCTTGATTTAAGTAAGTTTTGAGACAGGGTCTCACTACGTTGCCCAGGAAAACCTTGAATCCCTGGGCTCGAGTATGGCTCCCACCTGGCCTCCCAAGGACTGGGACTGCGCACCACTGCGCCAGCTGGAGAAGATCTTTAAACCGGCTGCAGCCACACAGGCCTGCTTCCTGTTCTGAACCCCAGCACTGTGGGACGCGACCTGCCAAGCACCGGGCGGGGAGCTGCCCACCAGGCCAGCACTCCATGGCCCACAGGGCGCTTTCCCATGGTCACTTCATCTGTACCTCCAACAGCACTTGGCTAGCTGGGCTAACTTTACAGATGGGGACCCTGAGATCACAGGACAGCCACACAAAGTGAGGCCTAGAACACAGGACTGCCTGTCTTCGGCACCCACTCAGGACCGTGTGGTGTAAAGGCCACCTTCTCCAGTTTCCTGGGGCAACCTTGGGTGGTCACCCTGACTATGCTGTGCCTCATCTTCACCAGCAGCATCTCCAGGGGCTCCATGAGGGAGGTAACGTTGGAAAGGACATCCAGGTAAGTGTTCATAGACCTCGTGTGCCGTGCCCCGCCCCACACCTGAGAGCCCCAGCCCCCCTGGGCAGCAGATCTCCTCTGTGGGGACAGGGCCCTGACCGCTGGTGAAGAGGAACACTCAAGGTCTGAGTTGGTGCACAGGCACATTGACGGGTCGCATTTCCTGCCCAGGACAGAACCAACTCATTTTCATTTCCCAAGCAGAGAAGCAGATGTGGCCCGGTTCTGCTTACCAGGGCACAGGGACAGGATGGAGGATAAACCCCAGGGGAGCTTGCCACCTTGCTCTGTAACCCCAAGCCCATCATCAAGGGAACAACCAGCTTCAGACCAACACTCAGAGGCAGGGCTGCAACCCGACCCTGGGAGCAGTGCCCCCAGCAGGTTGAGAAGGCAGCACTCAATGGCACAAGCACCACTTCTCCCAGGCCAGAGAGGGCTGAGATGTCAATGATTTGTTTAAAATGACAACACTGACCAAACTCAGATTTAACAGGAAGCACATCCGGAGGGAGAACTCCCTGGAGGAGGAGGACCCCCCCCACCCCCGGGTCATTCCAAAGCCTGTGTGGGCTGCATTCCAGAAGGCCAACCACAGGGACAGCCTTGCTGGGGCCAGGTGGTAGCCTAGGCCTTCTCCCTACCATCACCCTTCTTCCAGGACAGAGGACACGGGATGCCAACCCAGCCTGGGCTTTCCCAGGCCCAGATGGAGACCCAGGTCAGCTGCAGCTGGAAATTGCAGCTAAAAATATCCTCCTCTGCCCAGCACAGCAAGTGGGAGCCCCGCCCTGCCAGACGGGGTTCCAGATAGAGCCAGGATCCCCCAGCTGCCTCCCTCCACCTGAGGCTTCCTTCTCCCCCTGGGATGCTCCTAGAGGCAAGACCAGCCACTGGAGCACAGTTCTGGCTTCAGATCCTGAAATCCTGGGATCTTTTCTCCTCCTCATCCCCAGGACCATCCCAGGGCTCCAACTGGGCCAGGCAGACTTACCCAGGTAGATGTCTCCAAAGGACCCACTCCCGATCTTTCGTCCCAGGCGGTACTTGTTTCCCACGCGTAGCTCCATGATTCACTCTCGCTGCAGAGAGAAGCAGAACTCGGGTCAGAGAACTGGGAGCTGGGAAGGGGCCTCACCCACCCCTCCCCACCAAAGGCCAGGCAAAGCCACAAGAGACTTGGAAGACCAACCATCTCCCTCCCACTACCCAGGAAGCAATTTGACCTCACTTTGCTTGAGGGCAACCAGATGTCAGGTAGCCCAGCAGCCACACCCACACATCTGGGAGCAGCCTCAGCAGGTCCTGCACAAGACACTAGAGAAAACAGCCCCCTTTAGGCCCAACCTCTAACCCACCCCCAAGCCTGGCCAGTTCCCAGTGTGTTTTGAGGGAGGGGGCCTGATCCACACTGGGGGAGAGGCAGGACAAGGACCTGCCAACCACCACGTCCTCCACTCCTGACACCAAGAGCCTTTCACAGCCCTCTGCCTGCATCTCTTTGGAAAGACTGTCTGGGGCTGACTTTTTTCAAGATTAGGAGAGCTTCTCCCTGGGAACTGGCCCTGGGCTGGGGCAACCCAAGCCAGTTTTAAGTGTCCAGTCCCTGTGGGACTAGAGTCATTCTGATTTGAGAAGCTCCCCTTCCTTCTGCTATTCATCTAGGTACCCCAAGCCCACCAACAACAGGGACCTCTAAGCCACCCTGGCAGGGATCTCTGTACTGGTCTGGGCACCTGTGCTCCTGCCAGCAAAAGAGGAGACTCACAGGCAGTTTTGGTGAGAATGGCAGGGAATGGCAGACTGGGAAACAGGGAGGGGGGTCCAAGAGACCTCAGCATGTTTATAAGAGGGTTAGTCTGCATGAGCAAGAGGGGACTCCTTTTGCAGACAGAAACTCAGGCCCAGAGAGAGCAAGCCACAGCCCTCATGCCATCCAGCCGCAGTCAGTGCCAGGGTCCCAACAAGGAGCTGACAGGGGTCCTGCTGCCCCTCCCAGCCCCCAACCCTCACACACAGGGCTTCTTTCATGCCAGGGATGGAAGGCAAAGCAGGAAGATGGGAAAGCAGCTGTGCTGACCTTTCCCCATGCCAAGGGCTGCCCCCAGAAGCCAGGGACCTGGGAAGGGAGCTGGGAGAGACTCCTTCCTTTGGTGGTCAGGTTAGACTTCCCTGAACCGGGCAGAGCGAGGAGCCAAGAGCTCCTGCCTCAGAGTAATATCCCAGTCCAGGGCCGGCTCCCAGGGAGAAGCCTCAAGCCATCGGCAGCCACAGGAAACAGCCTCCACCCGGTGGCAGCCAAACTCGGGGCTCTCCATCAGAGCCTCTGCCCACATGCCTGGCCTGGCCCAGCTGAGGCACCACGGCTTCCAGCAGCACACTCCACACTTGCAGGAAACCCACACGCCACACACCCCACATTCACACGCCGTCCAGCTGCCCGGTGTGTACCCGCCAAGGGAAGTGAGGAAGGCACACAAGCAATGAGCCCTGCTGGGGGGCCGGCGAGTACGCACACAGCCCCCCCCCAGCCCGTTTCCACCAACGCTGATTCAGAGACCACACATGGCAGCCGGGGAGCCGCAGGTTAGGAAAGAAACATAAATATACCCGCATCCTATATTACATAAATACCCATGCCGGGTTATATAAATACCCATGCCCTCTGTCTGGGTGTCTTACATAAATATACTGCACATAACCCCACAGCCCCCCTCGCTCACCGGGCTGTCTGCAGAGAAGGGAACAGGGGTGCAAACCACCAGCCCTCCGGGACCCCCCAACTGCTCTGTGCCAGCCACCCAGACAGCAGGGCCTCCCCAGCGCTGGGGGCCCAGGGCCCTAGGGAGAGCCTTGTGTGTCCCAGCATCCCCCAAAGGAGAAGGGAAAGGGTTCATCCGAGAATGGGGGAAACTTTCCAGTTCTCTGGCTGCTTTTCCCATGAGGGTGGGGTAGGGATGGGGGGAGACAAACAAAGTAAAAAAACAAAAAACAGGCAGACATGGAGTCAGGAGTTTCAGTGGGTTAGAAAATGAGACAAACTACCAACCAGAGGGCCACATGGGCAGGTTTTTTACTTCCTGACACCTCCTCCCTTCCCTAGAGGCAGGACCCTTGTCACTGGACCCTAAAGATAAAAACTGAAGGGGTATCCCAGCCCCCAGGCAAAGGAGACCCAAACGCGCGGCCCTGTACTGGAAGCATCTTAGGACACCCTTCTTGCCCCCAATCCTTCTGCCTGAGAGGTTAGGCCAACAAGAAAACATGTAAAGAAACTGAGGGCAAACTTGGGGAGGGGGGTCCCCACACCCTGAGTTTGGGTGCTTCCAGTTGGGAACCCTCTCTCTAAGGTCGGGGCACCCACAGTTTTGCTTCCAGAGACCTAGAGAACAGGATTTCTCACCCACAAATGGGAGAATCGCGTCCGATAAATAACCCCCCTTCCTCTCTCCACAAAGGAAAACAAAGCCCTTGGCCTGGGCGACCAGGCACCCCATCACCTCCGGACTCCCCTCCCGCCAGCGGAACAGCCTTGCTGACCCTGGCTCTGGGGCACCCGGGCCAGGGAGCAGGGGGGGCCGTGATGGTCCGCGAAGCCGACAGAAGCCCAGGGTTGGCCGGGAAGCCCGAATCAACAGTATCGGGTGCCCTCAGCACCCCAGTCCCTCCCTCGGCGTCCCCAAGTCACGGCCCTGAAGCCGCCTCGGCGGCCGGGGCCTTGGACAGTCCAGCTGGGGGAGGCGGAGGCGGCCGGGGCCGAGGGGTCCTCCCCCCCAGGCCTGCAAAATAACAGTCCCCCTCCTCGGTCCCCAGCCGCGCCTTTGTCCTCGCGGGCCGAGCGGGCGGCGCCCGGAGTGCCCCCCCAGCCCCGCGCGAGCGCGCGCGTGTCGCCCTCCGCTCCCGGCAAAAACAAAGAGGCGGAGGAGCCCCGTTTCCCCCCGGGTTTGCGCCCCTCGGCGGGCCCGCGGACCCCCCATATTTACCCCTCCGGGAAGGCGCCGGTGCCGGGCCGCTGTTCGGGGGGCTGCCGCGGGCGGGGGCGGCCCGCCGGGGCGGATGCCGGAGGATTCGCGGGGCCGCCCGGCGCGCCAGCCTCTCCCGGCCCAGCCGCCGCCGCCGCCGCCGCCGCCGCGTCGCGCCGCGCTCCTCTCCGCTCCGCTCGCCCCGGCCGGCTCAGGCTCTGGGCTCTCGCCGCCGCCGCCGCCGCCGCCGCCTCCCGGCCGCCCGCCCCCGCCGCCGGCTCGCGCGCTCCCGCCCGGCGCGCGCCCGTCGGCTCCCATTGAGCCCCGGGCCCGCCCGCTGATGTCATCCCCGGCCCGCCGTCGCCGCCCCGGAGGATTTAAAGGGCCCGCGCCCTCCCAGTCTGGGGGAGTGTGTGGGGGGGTAGGAGATGGGCAGCCAGGAAACGCAGTGTCCCCGGCCCCTGGAGGAGCACCGTACAGGAAGCCTGGGGCACGGGGTGCGCACGCAGTCACCGCCACCGGAGCCAGTGCCAGCACCAGCACCAGGTCCAGGTGGAGAAAGTGGGACGGGAAAGAGAAGGGAGCACTAGAGCGGGGTTTTCTATCCCCAAAGCCCCCTCCCGCCCTGCCAGGTTCTCTCTCCGCTCCGAAGGCCCGTGGTTATGCCTGGCACCACAAAGGAAGATGTTAGATAGTTGGGGTTCGGTGCACCTCTAGGCTGAGTGCTATGGAGAACACAGGCCCTGTTGATTCAGGGGCTGGTGCAGGCCGAGGGGTGGAGGGGTGTTGACAAAGGGCCCAGGGAGGTAGCCTGGGGGGTTCAGTTACACCTTCCTCCCGGAGGAAAATCAAAGGCAAAGACCCTTTTCTTCGTGTGGCTCAGACTAAGCACAGAGCAGACCCTCACTGAGTGAGCAGCCCCACGCACTCCAGCACTCCCGTAAATGCAACACTTGAGTACACATCCAGTCAAGCCACCTGCCGGCTGCAAGCTTGTGGGGGGAAGAAGACCCTGCCCTCCCCAGGTCACGGGCAGAATTAATTAAGGCTTCCTACAGGCTTCCAGCTGATGACATGTTCAAGACCGGGTTATTAAAATGATGATATTTACACTGTGCCATGTGAAGCTCCAAATTATGACACACCTACATTCTCACACACACAATTGTGGCTGTAGACACACAAAATGCCCAAGCACACGGCAACCCAATCCCGGAAGCACATGTCTCAGGAAGACTCACTTCCATAATAACCGCATCTTCCTTCAAGCTGGAGGGACTTAGTCACACACTGTTCACACTGGTGGGAGCCCTACAGACCAGGTCCTTTTGCAGGCCATCAGAATGTGCCCAGAGAGGGCAAGGGGTTTATCCAGAACCACACAGCACACTACATAGCCCATTCTCCTAATGGTGTGTGGGAAGCTGGGCCTCAGAGACCGTTTCCAAGAGCAGGAGAGAGGAGGAAGCAGATCCCGAGAGATGATGCCTGTGGCAGTCAACTGGGACCTGCCCTCAGTGCCACCTTTGCTGGGGCAGGAGGTCACCAAACATGTGGCAGGCTTGATTTGGCCTGATGGTTTCTTCTTGTTTTTGTTTTGTTAATTGATTCCCAGTTGGCAGACTTCATATTATAGATCCAAATTCCTGACTTGTCTTGAAGCCTTGGGAGATCTAGCACCCTGGGCACAAATTCTTACTTAGCCACATGCCACACTAGCTTGGGCAGCAGCCCAAGGGCCTCATTCTGTGTCCCCACATTAGCCCAGGCAGTGGGACCCTGGTACAACTATGCCCTCTGGTCCTCACCACTGTGGCCTTCCAACCTGGGTCCTGCCTCACAAACTTGGCCCCTCCTGGTCTACAGCACCAACTAAGCACCCTGGTAGCAATTTCACTGAATCCTCTGCAAGGACAATAAATTGAATTGTGCCCCCCGGCCTCCCGTTTACAGAAGGGGAATCTGAGGCTCTCTAGCATAGATCAACCTCACTGGAGACTCAAACCTGGAACTTGCTAAAAACCTCTCCTGCAATCCTCACCCAGACTGCCTTCAGAGAAAGGTCAGCAACCCACTGTCCCAGCTTCCCTTCCCCATTCCAGGACTTGTGGGCCTGCTTCCCACCCACCCCCCACTCCCACCAGCCCTGAGGGAGATGGATCAATTCCTAGGCCAACAGGTCTGAAGAGCCTCTGGTCCCCAGGGGCCTATAAGAAGCCCAGAGCTCCTGGGCCCTCCCAATCTCTCTCCCTTGGGCCCCACCCACTCTTTCCTTTGGATGGAGGGATGCTCGACACACCCTGTGCCCAACATACCCTGTGCCCAACAAGCTGCATTTTGGGTCCAAGTCCCATTTCTTCCTACTCCCCCATGAGTCCAAGCGTGAGTCCTTCTACAGAGCTCTGCACCTAAGCTCTAAGGGGAAACAGACGTGATGCAAATCAGCTAAGGAGCTGAGGCCGTTCCAGAGCAAAGAAATCTTACCTCCTTCCAGCCAAACTTCCTCTCCACGACATCCCTCAGCGACTCCTAACTTTAAAGCCCAAGGGCGGGGCCACTCAAGCTCCCAAGCCACCCTCCCCAGCACCCAGGGGATGAATGGAAACTGTGGAATCCCAGGCCACCAGGGCTGTGCTGGCTTTCCAGGGCGCTGCCAGACTCGGGAGCTGCAGTCCCCCCTCCCAGCAACCCTTCCTAGCTGAGGTTTGTACCCGATTCCTAATTTCAGACCCCTCAGAACCCCGGGGGCACTGCAGAGCACTGGGCTGGAGGCCTCAAGGACAGCACAGGCAGATGAGTTAACAGATGAAACCCTGGGACACGGAGAAAGGTTTTAGGACCTTGCAGAGGAGCCTGAGTCTTACTGAAAATGTGAAGGATGGTCCCTCCAAAATTGGTCCTCAGTCTCCCAGCTCTCCTCACTCAGCTTCTAAAAGGCTCCTTGCTCCTGCCATGCTGCCTCATAGAAGGAGCTGGGCAGGCTCCAGCCAAAGGGCCTTAGCCCTGGCCCTTCCAACTCAGTCACCTTCACAGGGAGGCCTGCCTCCCGGCGCCCAGCTCTCCTGGTCTGCCCCACGTTTCCCCTGGCCCTCATTACTATCTGGCATACTCTATATGGTACTTTTTATTTATCTTTTCTTATTTTTTGTCTGCATCCCCCACTCAGAAAACTAAGTCGCATGAAGGCAGGGACTTAATGCTATTTTGGGCACCACTGTGTCGCCAATATCTGGAATAGTGTCTGGCACCTAGGAGGCATTTAACAAACAGCAAATGAATGGACTGTGAAGAGGCAGCCTCCCTCCCTCTGACCACACGTGAAGAGCCAGCCCCTGGCTGGGCCCGCCCTGTGTTGATTCATGCAGTGCCAGTATCCACCCTGGGAGGAGGCTGCGGCCTGCCAGAGCCACTTCACCCAGGGTAGCGGAGGATGTCCCTGCTGTCTTCCATCAGGCTCCTGCCCGGACCCTCTAGGGAGGGGTGGTCCAGCGAGCCAGCTGACGCTGCCACTTTTTAACCATGTGACACCAGCTAAAGTCCTTAAACCCTCCGAACCTCATTTGTAAAATTGGGATCACACAGGTAATAATGCACAAAAGCAGCCTGGCCCCAGGCGGCGTGAGGGGGCGGGGGCTGCTGCACTTCCGCTGAGTCCGTGAGCAGCTGCAGAACCAGCCCACCTGACCCGGGCGCCACCTGACCCGCGCGCCCACCTGACCCGGGCGCCCACCTGACCCGGACTCCGAGCGCCGCAGGCTGCGGCCCCCCTTCCCCTTCTCCATCTTGGTCTTGGCTTTGGGGGTGGGGCTGCAGGGGGGTTCTCCCGGCCTCTCTCAGGTTCTGCTCCTGTCTCTCCCAAGACCTCTGAGGATCAGCGGCCCATGGGCTCCAGGAGGCCCCCCCCCTCAGGCCTGCGGGCTGAAGACACTGCCTTAGTGCATTTACTTCTCACCAGTGAGACCTTGGCTCCCGGTGCCCAGACCCTCTATGATGGTCCGCCACCTCAGAATCCTGCAGGGGAAGTGCCCTCACAAGCCTCTCCTTTAGATGCTTCTCCTAGGTGACCTCACCACATGGCCATGCCTGGTCTCATCATCCTTGGGCAATGGTTCCTCCCACCTCCTCCAGCTCCAGGAGGGTGGGGTCACAGAGGCCCAGGTTTGAGTCCCAGGCCAGTCATTGGACATCAGTGGAACCTTGGTCCTCTGTGAATTCTGGGCAAAGTGACCTCTAGAGGTCTTCAGTGTCCCCCTCTGTAAAGTAGAGGCTGGACTGGATGGGGAACATCCCCTACACGCCACACCCTGGGCCCTGTGTTGAGAAAGACTCTGGGGTTACAGAAATCTTGGCTCAGTGGGGAAAGGCTCCCCTTGCCACCCCCATCTTCCAAGGTGAGTGGTGTAGTCAGGTGCAGTGGGGCACACCTGTGATCTCAGTGACTCCTTGGAAGCCAAGGCAGGAGAATGTAAATTGAGGGCCATTTTGGGCAATTAGTGAGACCCTGTGTCAAAGTTTAAAAAAGGCCTGGGGCCGGATACAGTGGCCCATGCTTGTAATCCTAGTGGCTCAGGAGGAAAGCCAGCCTCAGCAACAGCAAGGCCCTAAGCAACTCAATGAGACGCTGTCTCTAAATAAAATACAAAATAGGGCTGGGGACGTGGCTCAGTGGTTGAGTGCCCCTGAGTTTAATCCCCGGTATCCCCCCCACAGAAAAAGTGCTGGGTACAGTTCAGTGGTGAGGACCCCTGGGTTCAATCCCTAGTACAAAAAAAAGCTAAACTAAACGACCGTGAGCAGGGCCTGTCAGCTCTCCCAGCTATTTCCTGAGCGGCCGCATCTTACCTTGTGTCTTCCATCTGGTTCCTGTAGCTACCTGTGAACCAGCGAGATTGTGTCCTCGGCTACTGAAAATACACCATGTAGGAAATTCACATTCTTTTCTCGGGGCCTGCTCCAAACTGGCCCCTACCTGCCTGATGCTTCACTTCATGGCCCTCAGGGCTTTGCTCCTGTGGTTCCCTGGGCCCAAAGATCTCTGCCCAGATCCTTGAAAGGCCTCCTGCTCATAGCTCAGGTTACAACTCAAAAAGCCACCCCCTGGGCTGGGGACACAGCTCAGTTGGTAGAGTGCTTGCCTTGCAT